AAATTTTCCCCCCCTTTTTTTTTTAATTGGTCTCTAAATTTATGCTACTGTTCCAAAGTTTAAGTCTCTTATGCTCACCAAGGCTGCATTTATTTGCTCAAAAATACAGTAAAACAGTAATATTGTGAAATATTATAAAAATTTAAAATATAGTATAATAGTGAGCTATATAATAGTTTTCTATTTTAAATGTAATTTATTTGTCACATGTGTCACATGATCCTTCAGAAATCATTCTAATATTCTGATTTGCTGCTCAGAAAACATTTCTGATTATTATCATATATAAATCTTACCAACCTCAAACTTTTGAACGGCAGTGCATCTTGTCTTTTTTCATTCAAAATGTAGTGTATGAAGTTTTAATTAATTTAGTTCAACTTTTAAGCAAAGAAAACAATTTTTGTTTTTTTATAATAATAGGATTATTGGTCATTGTGAGGTTTTAACAGGGAGTTACATTCTGTCTCATTCATAGGTGACATTTCATATTTGATCTTTGATGATTTAATGAATTCTGCAATACAAAAGCTCCAAATGACTTCAGTCCTAATAACAACAATATATTTTATATATTAGTGGATTTCTTTATAGACAATTATCTGAGAATGACCATTGAAGAACTATATCACACAGTGCTGATTTGTGTACGGTAGGATTATATTGTTTTTTATGAAGATTATTCTCATTGTTGCTCAGGAGGTGGAGGTAGAGAACCTTTCTAGCGAGAGTCCATACATAGGAAAGTCTCGTCAGAAAAGGAACATCACATTCCCATTGGAGACGGATAGCATGGGTGCACAAGACCAGCAGAAGGCCTCCTCAGCGGACCTGACTGAGACAGACGGCCCAGGAGAACATGACATGTCCAGACATGCTCAGCTTAGAGGTACACTGTGTTCTCACATTATATTAAAAGCTCTAAATTGTTAAGTGAAATAACATTTGTATGTTACACGTGCTGTTCCATTTTTACTCGTAACAATTTGTTGTTTTTGGTCTTATTATCTGCACTGCTGCTCAGGTTTGGGTCTACGTTGCATAGAATCACCTTGCTTGTGCATACTGTATATACAATAATACCTTCAAATAAAACTGAAATGACTGTTGATGACCTAATTTCTTGATTCTGTACAGTAACCCCACAAATAAATAAATAAATCCATCCATATGGCATCTGCAAATGAACGATGGAGGACATTTTCCCTTTTTATAGGGCCACTGTTTGTGTTTTGTTTTTAGCTGAGGAGCGATTACAGCAGTTACATAAAGAAATTGAGGCAAAAGAACAGCAGATCTTTAAAGCCAGTGAAGAGCTCCGGCAGCTAGAGGAGACAGCTTCTCAGAGACGGGTGAGATGTTCCCCTTTAAACATCTTCTGTGAATGGCTCTGTTTTTGAAAACTTGATGGCAGAGTCCATATTCAGATTCATTTTTTAATTATTTAGTTTGTTGATTTGCACATAGATCTGTGAGGCTGAGAAGGAGCAGCTCAGGCAGGAGCTTCAGAGGAGGATAAAGAGGCTGGGAGAGATGAGAGGAGAGATGGAGGCTATGGAGAGGCAGCTGGACAGACTGAATGCTGAGAGGATTCAAGCCCAGGATGAAATGGACCAGCTACAAAATCTACTGCACAGCCTGGATCCCAGTGACCCCAGACATGTCAGTAACACTCATGTCTGCACAACCTCATGAAAATAATCCTCTTGAGGATTATTATTTTTGCATAACACAGTGGCAAAAAGACACCAATTGTTCAATAAATAAATGTTTTATAATAATAATTGCAAAAAAAAAATTCTTAGTAATGCAATTTATTAGCCTTACCTGAACATTGTAAAACATCCTGTTAAATTTACAGTATAAAAAGCTGTGGTCGCTAGAAATTCACTGTAAAAAATATTTTATTTTATAGTTCATCAATGTACTGTATCATGATTCATGAACTGATATAGTGTTAATATACCAACATACTTAATATATATATAAATCTGCTTTGTACGGTAAACAGTTTAGATAAAACACCCCAACTATTTTCATGGCCCTTTTTAAAACAATGGCTAATTAACTTACACAAAGACAAATAGCAGCAGGGTATAAATGCAAATTCATGAATAACATTAATTAAACAAAATAAAATATGTTCAGACATTAATACTTTTATTCAGCAAGGATGCATTAAATTGATCAAAAGTGATGGTACAGACTTTTACCTTGTCACAAAATATTTCTTTTTATATACGTTGCATAATATTATTGTTGTTACTATATTTTTGACTTAAATAAATGCAGCCTTGGTGAGCATAAGAGAGTTCATTCAAAAACATTAAATAATCTTAAGAACCTCAAGCTTTTTAATGGTAGTGTAAATGTCAAGACTATTTATAATATAGACATTTTTTTATTGATGTAATTCATACTTTTTTGCTTGCAAAAGACATTTTAAAGATTGCATGTATATAAATCTAATATAAGGTGAGAAATATTAGTTACAACAATTAACAGGTTTTACTGTAGCATTTTTCTATTTCTGTTAAAATTACTAATAGTTTTAAAGTGTAGGCTATTTACGGTTGCCAGACAACTTTAAAGAATTAAAATAGAATTTAACTAATGTACAATTACACATTGTCTATATTTGCTATTTCACCAATGTAAAATCTTATTGATAAATATGCTTAGAACAAATATTGCATTGTACAGTTAATGCTTTGAAATACATTCACATTGAAATATGTGACCCTGGACCACAAAACCAGTCTTAAAGGGGTCATATGATGCTATTTTAAAGATCATTATTTTGTGTATTTGGTGTAACAGAATATGTTGACATGCTTTAATGTTCAAAAAACACATTATTTTTCAAATACTGTACATTATTGTAGGTCCTCTATGCCCCGCCTCTCTCAAACATGTCGTTTTCAACAAAGCCCCCTCCTAACCTTTTCTTTCATTAATTCACTTATAAGTGTGACCCTGGAGCACAAAACCAGTCTTAAGTCGCTGGGGTATATTTGTAGCAATAGCCAAAAAAACAATGTACGTGTCAAAATTATCGATTTTTCTTTTATGCCAAAAATCATTAGGATATTAAGTAAAGATCATGTTCCATGAAGATATTTTGTAAATTTCCTACCGTAAATATATCAAAACGTAATTTTTTATTAGTAATATGCATTTCTAAGAACTTCATTTGGACAGCTTTAAAGGCGATTTTCTTAGTATTTAGATTTTTTTGCACCCTCAGATTCCAGATATTCAAATAGTTGTATCTCGGCCAAATATTGTCCTATCCTAACAAACCATACATCAATGGAAAGCTTATTCAGCTTTCAGATTATGTATAAATCTCAATTTCAAAAAATGTACCCTTATGACTGGTTTTGTGGTCCAGGGTCACATATTAATAGATATAGGCAAGAACCTGTTCCCTACAGAAATAACAGTTACATATTTCTGCAACATGTTACTGTTTACACCCATGTGTGATCACTCTTAAAGGTTCGCGCTATGCCTTTCGGCAACATCTGCAAATGCCACAAAATCATTTCCATGAGTATAAAATGGTTTATTGTCTGTGTATGTTGTGTTTTTGCCGTAAGCCTCAGAACTATTCAGATGTTTTATTCAGATGTTAGATCCTTAGTTTATTTATGTTTTATAACAAAGTGCATATCTTCCAGTTTTCTGTTAAAGAAAATGTTTGGCATACAAACAGTGTAGGACAAAATGAGTGCAAAACAACTGATGTGTTGTGGAACCTCCCTATCAACAAAGGTGTATAATAAGATTAGGTTCTCTACGGAATTAATCATCACTAACCCATGATGCTCAGCAACGAGTTGCAGGCATATAAAATGAGGCTCTTGTCTCTTTAAGAAAGAAGAGAGAACTTCTGTCCTGGGAAATCTGTTGATGCTGTGGGTGGAGCCTACTCCCACCCGGCCACAGACACAGACACTGATTGGCTGAGGCTGACGAAAGTTTCCTGTGTTGATTCAAAGAGAGTTGAGAGGAGGGTGGAAAGAGTGCAGGGATAGAGGAGGAGGGGGCTGCTTTTAGTGATAGTTGGAGTCCATGGAAGAAAAGCTATGAAGTTTAGAGTAACAGAGCTAAAAGAGACAGGAAATGTTCTCTTTCTGCACAAGGAGCCCCTGTTACCCCTCGTGGGGCAGCAACAGGAGAAAAATGGATATATAGAGACAGAAAGCGAAGAGATGGCAGCCACACCGCTGTAGTAAGTACCCCACTGGGGTTTAGGAGGGGCTCATGGGAGGCTGCGATCATACTGTTGTAATTTGGCGCTTGTAATGTTGTTTGTAGAAGTGATTATTGGTGTCTAACATCATTGAACATTATTTCGTTTTTTAAAGTTGATCATTTATGTTATGATGTTTAATGAATGTTGTATATTTTCAGTGTTTATAACAGGAAGTTGCAAAGGCATTATGTCATCAGAGTTTGCTGGCTTGCATATTTTATGACAGCAGTGGATAAAAACAAGGCACAGTATTAAATCAGTACACCAGTAGATAAATCTGAGTACATTTGCACTCTTTATTTATAGATAGTGTTGGATTTAAGTTTTAAAGCAAACTTGCCTGTGAACAAGGCATTGTTTAAAATAATGTTTAATGAAAGTGTAACATTTTCACTTTGAGATAATATATATTGGGAGGGAAGAGGAAGTCAATGGTTGAGAAGTAACAAATGCAGAAGTCCAAGACTGTCCCTGCGTTCCAATTCACACCCAATTCACATACTGTTTTGTTTACTATTTTGGGTGGATAGAACACTGTAAAAAATTATTTTTCAAAGTTTTGAGTAAAATTACAACAGCAACAACAACAAAAGACTATAGTGTAAATAAAACAAAGCGATTGTTGTAGAAGAAAATACTATCCAAATGTATTTCCACTTAAAATTTCACTTTAAATTCAATATGTTACTTGCAGTTTCTTTGTAATTAATTTTGAAATTTTCTAGCAATTTCTCAGTGAAAATTGTCTCAGAAAACTTTGAGTTGGGTTGCAATACATTTTAAAATTATTTAAATGTAGTTATAATAACATATTCTCAATCAAAATAAAACCCACTAAAAATAAAGATAATAATATTAAACAATAATAAAATAATAAAACAACAATAATAAAAGACACTATTAAACTGACATTATATTTTTGAATGTATTTATTTTTATTACAACAAAAATACCAGAGATACATATCAGCTTAGTTTGGAGAATATTGTATTGGTAAACGTGGTGCCTTGGAGACACAAACCAGCAGAATTGATCATGTAATAGCACTCTAACCCAACTCTCTCTGCCATCACTCCTGCAGGACCACGTGAAGGCTCAGTTGTCCAAGAAGACGCAGCTGCTGGCCATCATGAGCAGAAAGCACCAGGAACTGGAGAGCAGGCTGGATGACATGATCACACGCATCCACAAGGAGACACAGGAGATCAAAGAATTAGAGCAACAGCTTACTGATGGTGAGGACCTTTTTTTAAATGTTGTTTTTAACCTTCATTAGATAAAGGTAGCATTTGATCTGTTGTAATTTTATGGATGAATACAATATTTTAAAAAATCATCAAATAAGCTAAAAGAAACAATCTCCACTCTTTCAGGTCAGATCGCTGCTAATGAAGCACTCAAGCGTGACCTGGAGGGCATCATCTCAGGTCTCCAGGAGTATCTGCAGGGGGTGAAGGACCAAGCACGAAGAGCCCAGTTAGATTGCAGTCGTCTGCAGAGAGAGAAAGATGCTCTGCAACGCTTCCTGTGTGAGAAGGAGCTGCAGTGCACACAGCTGGAGAAAGAAGCTCTGAGTGCTAAAAGTGCACAGGAGGTTGGAGTCTGTTTCTGACATAACAGAGCAGCAGTTTTAATACACCACTCTGTAATAAGTCAAATCAGCATTATCATATTGTTTGTTGTGTTATAGGAGCTTCAGTGTCAACAGCGGGTGTTGGAGGATCTGGGGAAGGAGAATGAAGAGCTGAAGCAGGCTCAGGGGCAGGTCAGTGAATATGAGGCAGAGCTTGAGACGCAACTGCAAGAGAGAGATACTGAGGCCACGCAACTGAAGGAGGAGCTGGGCAGACTGCGTCAACTCAGTCAAGTAAGAAATGGGTTCATAGATTTTTTTTCATATTTGTGCATAATATAATGCCTTTTTTGTAAAGGCATAGTTCACCTGAAAATAAAAATTCTACTCAAGTTTCTCCAAACTTTTTTACATTTCACAAAATGTTAGGTCGTATATTCACGTTGGCCATTTCCATAAAAATAGATTAGACTGTGACTAGTGCCTGTCAAGCTCCATAAAGGAATGACTCTCAGAACGACTCGTGCAATATATTTCAAATATTCTTTATATGTCCTCATCCATCTTTTCTTAAAATATCCTTCAACAACAAGCTGAAATTTCCATCACTATTCACTGAAAATCTTGTCTTCGGATCTTACATTTTCACATTCTTTCATGTGTATTATGAGAAAACATCAGTTTGCATTCATTTTGGAAAAACAGCTTGCTCATTAAACATACACTACCATTCAAAATCTTAGATTCTTATGCTCACCATAGCTGATAAAAATTTATTAAAAATGCTGTAAAACAGTAATATTGTGAAATATTATTACAATTTAAAACAACTGTTTTCTTCTTCAGCCATTACTCCAGTCTTCAGTGTCATGTGATCCTTCAGTAATCATTCTAATATGCTGATTTGGTGCTTAAGAAACATTTTACAAAACAGCCTTTTAAATTTTAACATTGAAGTGGCTTCCACATTTACAGATGGAGCACTCCGCACTGCAGGCGGAGCTGCAGAAAGAAAGACAGGCAAAAGAGAACGCTTTGGCACAGATGCAGATGGCTGCCGACAGAGAGCTTGAGAACACAGAGCTTCTGCAACAGGTCAACACTCTTCAGGTGTGTTACTGCACAACAGACCTCATACCAGAATAATAAAGCTCAGTCAGACTTTTTCCTCTATTGGAAAGAGAGGATTCATGGAAAGACCAAAGGATGCACGATTTTCACCTCAATCAAACCCTTCTTAGAGCCTGTAAAAACGTGTGCTGTACATTCTGATGCTTGTTGATGTATGAGAATCATTCAACCTCCAGTATGACTCACATCTTTGAATTGCTGGCTGAAAATGACTTTCACAGGAGGAAAGAGACAGTCTTAAGGAGAAGGTGGATGCTCTTCAGGGAGAGTTGGAGCAGGTTAGGGAGGAGCTTCTTTGCCCAGAAAGTGTGGCTAAACATCTAGGAGAGCTGAGAAGAGGCATAGCTACAGGACAAGAGGAACTAAGGTATTATAGATTCTTATTGGATATTTTAGCAAATTATAATAAGTGGACTGTGGCTACAGATGTGTCCATCAGATGGTGACATGTCTTTATTATCCTGTCCTGTTGCAGCTTTAAAGACCTTGGGGAAACAATGAACAAGAAATTCATGGCGCTACAACAGGAGGTGCATCGTGTGGTATCTGCTGCTCAGAGCGATAGAGACGAGGCCCAGCGCTGTCAGGACAGACTTGCTGGAGAGATGAGTTCGCTCAAAGAGAGACTCAGGAAGTACCAAGAAAGATACCAGGCTCAGGTGAGCTGATGTTGTGGAATTCAAGTAATCATTATTTGAAATAGACTTTTCAGTTACATTGCCATTTCTAAAGTTCAGATGCTCACATATTGCAGTATAATGTCTTAGTATGAAGAGATGCTGATCTCCCTTTATTTTATTCCAGCAGGCAGCAGAGAGACGGGGTGAGGAGGCGGAGCTCCATAGATTGAGGAAGGAGCTGGAAGATGCTCAAGAGCAGCAGTACTTGATGCTGCAGCGTTTAGAGGAGACAGAAATGGACAGGGACCGTCTTCTTGCTGAATTAGAAGAACAAGATAAACAGGTGCCAGAATGAGAGTGATTGTTATTTTTATTAATTATGTATTATAATTATTTTTTTTGCTACCTTCTTGATTTTCTTCTGTTTTTTGCTCAATTTTTTAAAATTCGTCAAAGTGGCTGATTGGTTCTTGCAGGCTGAATTTTCTTCAGCCCCCCTCCTCCCCAGCTCCACCTGTCTAGATCTGCTATGAGGTTGAAATGTAATGTAATGTTAGGATTAGGGAACCTTAGCAAGGAAAAAAATCTTTTGGACCCTGTGGACACTGCATTAGAGTTTATAGTTACCAATGCCATTAAAGAAATGTCATGATTAATTTATTTCACAATAGAGCTTAACTTGTATTTTACTTTGGATATTGCTTTCATCAGCTATGTATTTAATAGTTTGTTGTCTTTCTAGGTGAAAGCTGAGGAGAGTCAGACTCAGGAGCAGCTAGAATCTCTCAGTCTGGAGTTGCAGGCACTCAGGAGATCATTTTCCTCTGCTGACAGAATGGCTGCCCAACAACTGACGGCAGCGAAGGACAAACTTCACTCTCTTCATAGCACTATAGAGAAAATACATCATGAGAAAGCAGCAGTAAGACACGGGGCAGACTACTTGAGATCTTTCGGGACCAAAATCTATGTGAGAGAAGTTCACTGATGATGATCTGTTTATATGTATGTAGAATGCAGAGGAGTTACAGAGCACCAGGATTCAGGCTGTCCAGGCCATTCAGGACTTGGCTAATGCTGAAGCAGAAATTGAGGTTCTCCAGAAGCTTTTGAGAGATAGGGTAATGTGTCTGCTCAGAATCTTCAGACTTCGGTCTTCAGTTTTATCCTCCTTTCCACTCCAATATTCTGAATACGATTGTCTCTAGTAGCAGTCACACTGAACTTTCAGATTGGTTGTGAAGTACAGTAGTCAACATTTGAAGTGGATTAAAACCTGTCATCAAAGTTGTCCTAAAACCAAAACAATACCCGTTCTTGTCTTAGGACAACTTTGATAAACTTTTTTTGGTCCACTTCAAATGTTGACTACTGTAGATAGGAGATAGTGTTTACCATTAGTTTACTAATGTACTGTCCACACCTCTATATGTTAACGCATTATCTGATTTTTGTAGGTTCATGAGACAGATGGGAATCTCAACAGTGTCCCAATCTCTAGTATTCAACAGCAAGAATTGGACAGATTAAACCAAACCTTGAAAAGACAACAGGCCCAAACCAAACGTCTCAGAGATCAACTAGCACAAGGCAAAGCAGGTTTGTTTGCCATCTTTACATAGCAGCCCCTGAAAACACCCTAGCATCATGGTGGCATGTTTTGTGGGCAAGCACCATGCACATTTCCTTCAAGGCAAAAATGGGACTTGTTATATACTGTGGTTTGTTTAGCTAACAACGGAAATCTAGAAGAGCTGCTGGAAGAGATTGGAGCACTGAGGGAGACTCTCCTACAGCAGAATAACTTCCTGTCCAGTTTAGGAGATCCCCTGCCAAACACAGGATGTTGGTACTATGTACCATCAAATCAAAATGTAAGAAATCATGTTTTGAAACATTATTTTAGCATGAGAAAAGGAATGCACTTGTAAATGTAAATGCCAGTTTTTTTATTGTAATCAGCATGTTATTTGACCTCAGGCCCCTAGTTTTGGATCTCAGGGCACACAAGACTCAGGACTGGACTCTGTGCACCCACAGTCCCCTGAGAGAGGCCGGCAGTCCGGCCACAGAGCACACAGGGAGAGAAGACCTCCTGTTAATCAAGGATACTGGGTCTATTCCCCCCATCCGCACGCTCATGGAAAGAGAGGCAAGTGCCATGGAACCCCAATTCAGAGTCATCATGGTCAATATCATGTCAGCGCTGTAATATATGTCCTCATGTCTCCTCAGATGCACAGATGTTCAGAGACAGTGGAAGAGAGAGCGATATAGAGGGCGTGTCTGGAACACGCTTCACGCCTCCATCAGTCTCTGCTGGATTTACTCTACCTGATGGTACTGCTTTTCCTCCTGGATCATTTATCTACAATCACCCTGTGCCTGGCCTTCCCATTGGCTCAAGTACAGTCCTCTATGGGCCGCCCCCTGATGGAGCCAGGCTGGTGTATGGACCTCCTCCCAGCAATCTTACTATTCCTCTGGTGCCCAGTGGGACGCTGCACTGTAATGTGCCTGGACATCAGGACTTGGTATGAGATATGTAGATTTCTACTTAATTAAGCACATTATTTCCCGTTGAGCTACACTGCAATGTTACATTGATTTTAATGTACTGTATAAATGTTGCAAAAGATATTCTGCTCTTCATCAGAATTTGGTCCTATTCCAATTATGTGTGCTATAATTCAAAAGTTTGGGATCAGCAAGTTTTTTGTTTGTTTGTTTGTTTTTAGAAATTAATACTTTTATTCAGCAAGGTTAAAGAAAATTTACATTAAAGACATAATTGTTGCAAAATCAATATCAAAATATTTCTATTTCAAATGAATGTTGTTGAACTTCTATTCATCAAAGATTCAAATAATTGATAATAAGAAGAAATGTTACTTGAGCACCAAATCAGCATATTAAAATGATTTCTGAAAGATCGTGTGACACTTTTTATTTTAAAATTAAATTTTTTTTAGTTAAAAATTTTTAATATTATTTCACAATATTACTGTTTTTACTGCGGTTTTGATCAAATAAATGCAACCTTGGTGAGCATAAAAGACTTCTTTCAAAAACATCAAAAAAATCTCACCAACCCCAAACTGTTGAATGGTAGTGTACATGTAAATTTCCATTATTTTCAAGATAATGGAAAGTCTTGGTTTGTGTTTCAGGAGCGAGATCTGAAGACGGCAGGGCGTAGGCTGAGAGAGGAGTGTGCCGATAGAGCTCACAGTGAGAAAGAGCAGCAAGCTCTTCAGGACAAAACAACAGACTTACAGCAGGAAATCAAACATCTGCGCAGGACTGTCCACACACTGCAGCGCCACACGTCAGTCAGCATGTCAACACCAATATGTCTTACTCAATATAGACTTAACATAACACATTACGCCTCTGAAATGTACACTACATGTGTATAAAGTATCATGTTCCTTTCTGTTTTTGGTTCATCAGGAGTGGGCTGGAAAGCTCCTTATCACATGCAGAGGAGGAGCAGTGTGTCCTGGGAGAGGTGGAGTGTGTGGAGAAAACCCTGCTGAAGCGCAGAGCAGAGCTCAGAGAGGCCGACAGACTGCTGCTAGAGGCTGAGACAGAGCTCAAAGACACTGGAGCCAAGGTCTGACACTACTGTTCCTCACTGTTCCTAACTTGACTATGTTTTTCAGTGCCATGACAGAAGCGCAGTGTAGCTCATGTCCTCTCTCTCTCTTCATTGCTTTTCTGTCATTTCTTCTGTGTCATATATAATAATACTGTATATAATAATTCAGTCATCACTTCCTGCGCGATAATTATTTAGCTAAATATTGCTGTTTATCAGTGTTTTTTGAATTAGTATATAAATTATTTAAATTAAGGCTTTTATTTGTTTTGTCCTCGTTGAATTCTTTTGTGTATATTTATATTAGTTTGGCTTAAAAGAGTAGCTTGACTACTGTTAGCTTTCCCAACACATCACATCACCTTATAAAAAGACGCTAATGATGTGATGCATGTGTGTTTGCAGACTAAAGAGAGCGTGAAGCGCTACAATGAGGCCAGGAGGCGAGTGGAAGAGACAGAACGAGAGCTGGTGGAGATGGAACAGAGAGCTCAAGACAGTGCCACACAGCTGGTGCAAACCAAACAACTGCTCAGGTAAACACAACTGCAACACATTTCTCAGTCTGAATCCTTAAGCATCCAACAGAATTGCAAAAATAATGACAGTTTCGAAAATGTTTACCAAACAATTTTTCCGTCTGCCATTGTTCAGGATAAAAGGTAGAGCAGTGTTGAAGGCACCACAGTGTATACACTTTTTGGTGAAATCAACTTTTAAATAAAGCATGACAGCAGCATTTTAGGCTGTTCTGTGAGAGTGTATCGAGTTTTGTTTGAGCTGGAGCTATTAGCCAAAATTGAGACTTGTAAATGTGCTGCTGCAGGAATCTTCAAGAGGAGGTTGAGGAGCTGCAGAAAAGAAAACAGGGCCAAGAACACACTCTACATGAAGTAGAGGAGGTCCTCGCATGTCAAGATGCAAAGTTTCAAGAGCTCAACAGAAAGCTGGAGAGAGCAACTGTCAGGTGTGACAACTATCATTACAGTAAATCACTGAATGCAGGAAATTTCTCTCCACTGAACTGTCTGTCTCTTCTGTATAGACTGGAAACTGCTGAGAAAGAGCTCAGAAAGACCCAGAGCCTGGAGGTGAAGCTCTTGCAGAGCTGCAGAGAGACAGAAGACTGTCTGACACAACGCAATACAGAACTGGACGAAGTCAACACTCGGGTAACAATTAAGATTAAATAGATTGTAAATACATTTATAATGCAACAAATTACTTTGGTTAAAATTAATGTTGTTCTTTTGAACTTTTTAGTCATCTTTTTTTAATCAATCACAGTTTCCACAAAAATATTAAGCAGCACAACTGTTTACAACATTAATAATAATAATAAATGTTTATTAAGCCCCAAATCAGCATATTAGAATGATTTCTGAAGGATCATGTGACACTGAAGACTGGAGTAATGATGCTGATAATTCAGCTTTAACATCACAGGAATAAATTACATTTTAAAATGTACTTAAAAATAGAAAACTTATTTATTTATATTAAATATTTATATTATATTTCACAATATTGCTGTTTTATGTGTGATCAAATAAATGCCATTGTAAGTTTTACAAAAAAAGAGAACGGATTGAACGGTAGTGTGTAGCTAAAAAGACTTTATGGGTTTCTTGTGTGGGGGTACAGGTGCTGTTGCAGCAGGAGGAGCTGTCTTTGCTGGACAGGAAGATGGAGCAGTGGACAAAGGAAGAGGAAGTGATGAGAGTTAGTGTGGAGAAACACAGGCAGGGCCTGTTGGATGTGCTCAGACAGGGAGAGGAGGATGCCCAACTCTTACACCAGCGCATTCAGGTTTCCACATGCACAAAATATTAGTGCAGTGTTTAAATATCTAGGAAGAACTTTTGATGAATACTTATGAACGGTCTGGATATGTGTAGGAGCTCCATGTGGATGTGCAGTCTCTGGCCGTGCAGAAGGGAGAGCTGGACTCTCAGCTGTCTGAGAGGAGAACCAGACTGGCACAGTATAAGAAAGAGCAGCAGAAGGAGGAGGAAACCCTGCAGAACCTCCATTCAGCCATTAAAAAACATAAAACAGGTATGTTACAATAGAGTGGCATGTCAACATCTGGCTCAACCAATTGTGTGAGTGGCAGATGAAAGGTGTAAAGAGAGAAGGGCTGTTTTGGAAACCTCTTTACTGTTTCACTTCCATTACAGTGCTAAACAGTTAGCAATGACTGGCGTGAGATGGTTTCTGGCCAGTTGCCGGAACAGTCACTTTACCCTGAGGGCCAGTCGTTTGTTGCCATTATTTATTGATCGTGTACATCCATTAGTTACTCTTTTTGGTCTGGGTTTCTGTGGTATATTCTACATTAGTGACAATGTAATTAGATTTACTAAAATAAAGAAACCTAGTTATCTGCTGGATCTTAGAAATGAGGTTATGTCAAAACTAAAAAAAGTACCAGTAAGATGTGTTAGAATTTACAAACAAAGTAATTTTTTGCATCATAGGCTGTGGTTTACCACCAGCAAAATAAATGTATTTTTGTAAAGAAAGCATGTAAAGAAATCTACAAATATTTCTAGCAAATATAAAAATCCATTGTAAATATAAAAATGTATCCCATTGAAAATATAAAAATGTATCTTTGTGGTGGGTCCAGTGAAAATGTAAAGCAAACAAACTTATTTTTGAAAGCTGACAAGAGTGGAAAAATCTGCAAATAGTATCAGTTTGGGAAATATTGTGGTTCACCTAATTAGTGTTCAGATGTGTGGAATTTGTATTTAGAGCTGAAGCATGTGTTGGAAATGGTCCAGTTGGAGATTGGGGAATTAGAGGGTGTGAAGCTTCAGCATAACCAGAAACTGGACCAGCTAGAGAAGAGCCAGGAAACTCTACTGCAGGTCAGTCCTAAGCATTTAACTTTTACCTGTACTGTCTGTGCTGATGATTAATGTGAGACTGGAGTAAGTTGTGAAGTTAACATTGGAGTGTCCGCTGCTCAGTTGCATGTGGAACTGCAGCGTGTGCAGCAGGAGCTGCAGGAGCAGCGTGGGGAGGCTGAGAGTCAGATGAACCTGCTGGAGAAAGAGAGAGCAGAGCTGCACACCCTCCAACAGAAGAGCCTCGACCTGCAGCAGCAAACAGACACAGCAGTCCAAGAGAGGAGCAGCCTGCAGGAACAGTGCAGAAACCTGGAGGCCAGACGGACACACGCTCAGAGGTAACGTATGGAAAATTTCAAAGATTTTCTCACGGTTTTTTTGGCATTGTCTGTACAATCATTTGAGACTTTCGAGACTGCCGCGTCAGTATTTGATAGAGCTGCCACTTTGTTGTTGGTGGTTCTGTTATTATCATTATGACAATTATGATTTCTGATTCATCTGCTCCTATATGACTTGAAAAAAATAAAATCTTATTGTGGTTGGTTGATTTTTGCATTGATCAGTCATTTACAGGTCCTTCTTGTCTAAGTGATCAGTTCTTGGCCGGAATAATTAACAATAGCTTTGTTTTCATACGAGTTAAAAAAATTTATGAAAGTTTAATTTACCAAAAAATCATCCATCTATGCCTTCCCACATATTATTATTATTTTGTCTCGGCCTAGGGGAGAGAAACATCCTGGATGAGCAAAAATTTGGCAATAAATCATCAAGAGAACAAAATTGACACTTCTGAGAAAAGTTATTTCTTTTTCATAAATATGCATAAAAATACAGATGGAAATCTGGTTAATCTGGACTAGACATCATGTTGAAATACTCTTATATAGTGCACTTTTTGAGGGGACAACCATATTGTAGTGGTGTCCGTAACCAAAGTAGCCATTGAGTGTATGTCCAATGTACACTAAATGGATAGAGAATACCCATAATACACTTTTAGGGCCATGCAAAATGAGTTCCTGGGTCTTAATTATTAAATTGTTTAATTAAGGTTTATACAAGTTAGTTTCTATGACAGATTTCGGGATTGTTACATTACTACTGGTGCTTGCAAGCACAAACTACACAAAAGGGGCAGCCTTTCTGGCACACTGAGTGTCCGAATTTGCTCACACGTTTTCATTCAGTCCTTCAAGTGCACTATATTATTGGACTGATGTAGGGAATAGTGAATGAGGGTTTAACCTCTGACTCTTTGAGGCTAATGCTAGCACTACTTCAGTCCAGCCGTACTTCAGTGAAAAAAATTAGCTGTTTAAATCTTCTAAAATGATCTAGACTTGATAGGATTCATGTTTATGGTGTAGCTTTAATGGAATGTATTGCTGTGGTTTCAGGTGTTTGGAAGCAACAGAGACAAGGGCGAGGGCGGCAGAAACAGAGCTGCTAAGACTACAGACTGAGCTGGACAAACTACAACAGGACCAAAAACACGCACACGACCTGCATCAGGAGATCAGCAGAGACACAGCAGCCTTGCAGCAGCAGCATGAGGGTATCCGCTCAACAGTCTCACTTTAACATCAGCTCTTATGTGTTTATTTTAATCAACACACTGAGATGCTTGTTTTTACCCACAGAGGAGTTGAGCAGATTGAAGAAACAGCTGGTGGAATCCCAAACTCAGTTAGATGAGATCAGAGAGGTGAGTTTACAGCAAGATGCTGCTGATCTACTGGAGGTTACTGTCCTGTAGCATGAAAAGTGTTTCTTTTGTTTGTGGTCAGGAGGTGAAGGCTGCAAGAAGGCAGCGGGAAGAGCTTGTGAAGCAACAGAAGGAGCAAAAGGCCGAACTGCAGGAGAAAGAGGAGAAGATCAGGAGGAGACAACAGAAGCTGGATAGACTGGGTCAACAGCTGCAGGAGCTCAAGGCAGAAGTAGTTATGAAACAGACACAGCTTGAAGAAAATGAAAAGGTGAAGTGACACACTGTCATCTGACAGATATTTTTTCATATCCTTTATCCTTTGAAACCGGATGATGAATGATCTTAAAGGCATAGTCCAAAAGTCATCATTTATTCACCCTTTATTAAAAGTCCTTTATGGTTTTCTTTTAAAATCTAAATTTTCAATCTTAAAATACTTTATTGGAATGATAGTGTTTACATACAATAATTTACTGTAACACAGTTCGTAGTCACGGGAAGAAGGAGGCGGGAACCGGCGAACACTTAAACAAAACTTTAATAATAAAATAAACACAAAATAGCGCGACAGCCCCTCGCGGACGACTGTCGCGCACAAACAGAACCAAAACACAAAATAAAATCCAGGCCTGGTCCTCTCTCGTCCAACACTGTCGTCACTCCTCCTTTTATGCTTCCGGAGCTCCTCCGTGGGACTCGAGACCGGTGAGTGGCGCAGGTGTCGTGCATTAGCATTTACTCCACCGGCCTCGCTCCGTTCCCACGGCTCTCGGCCCCGCCCCACTCGTCACATTTACATACAGTAAAGCTGTGGCTTTTATCTCACGGTTGCTTTTTTTAATACTCGTAGTGTGCAGGCCTTTTTTGCTACTTTTTACCGTTATGAAGAAAAATACTGTAATATATGTACAGTGATAGTCTATGATTATATTGACCAAAGCAGTAGTTGGTCTTTTGAGGGAGTGCAGCTAAAAAATGAATTTTGCTGCATTTTTTGGGGGTAACTCTCTTCCCTCCCAGTAACGTCTCCATTTGATCTGTTTTTGAAGAACTGGGAAACTGTGGCAGACTTTGAGTTGGTCAAAGCATTATGTCCGAGGCATGACGTGGGCTACCCGAATTCGAGTCATTTTCTGGGGGTCTTAGGGTAATGAGGTCATATTTGTGTCCTGTGTGTAGCTGGTGAGGGTGCAGCAGCAGCAGAGCACTGATCTGGAGCTGCAGCACAGGCTAGGGCAGAAGAAGTTGCAGTCCCAGCTGCAGGCAGTAGAGAGCGCTCTGGCCCTCAGGCTGGACCAGATGGAGCAGGTCGCAGCTACAGAAATGGACCTGCAGAGGGAGCGCAAACAGTGCACTGCACTACAAGAGCAGGTGGATAAACTAGGTGAGCTGCATGAGCAACATTGCCACGTGTTCCCTTACATTTAGCCTGATAAATGCAAATCGGCTTGCCTTTGTTGTTCTGAAGTGTGAGTGTGTGTTTAGAGCAGGAGGTGTGTGAGCGGGACTCAAGACTCCAGCATGCTGTTGAGGAGACCCATCACCTGCAGGAGGCTCGTCTGCAGGAGGGACGTCAGGAGGCCCAAAGCAAACACAGCCACACAAACAGGCAAAAACTGCAGGGAGTGGAAAAGGTGATTGGCACACTGATCCATAATTACTACACTGCCAATTTAATGGACCATAGAACTGTTGCATAAGTGCTATAGCATTAAGGGCATTAACAGTATTAAATGGATAGTTCACACAAAATTAAATGTTGTTCCAACCCTGTATGACTTATTTCTTCTGTGCTACATAAAGGAAAGTTTTTATTTTTTAAAAAGTTGTTTTAGACCCCATGTACTTTCATTATATGCACAAAATCTTATCTTCTGATATATCTTCATGCTGTTTATTTCAGTGTTACTTTAGTATTATTTGTATAATATTATAGTATTTATTAATATTTTGAATTAGAGTTTATATTTATATTTTTGGTTTTCTTTTCTATTTTAAATTTAAGTTTTAGTAATTTTATGTGATAATTTTGTTCTTTTTTTATCATTTTAATAATTCTTTATATTTCTATTTAGCTTTTATTTATGTAATTTTACTACTTCAATGTAAATATTTTAGTAATTTTTTATGTTCTTTTGTCATTTGTATTAGTTTTAATAATAAAACTTATATTTAATTATATTTCATTTTAGTTATTTCTATCTAGCTTAATTAATTTTTCAGTTTTAACTTATTTTAATTGTTTCATTTCAATTTTAATTTGATTTTAGTACTTCAACGTAAACTTATTTTATTTCAGTTAGTTGACAATGCAACATTTCAAATTTTTTCAAGTTTTTTAAGTTTCATTTTTTCATCTAAAGTTTATATTTTATTTTATTTCAGCTTTATTTTAGATATATAAATGTAATTAATAATATCAACACTGTAAAGGTTATTTATCTGATATTTGGCAATTTTAAGGTCATCAGCATTGGCTTGCTTGGCCAACTATAACAAGTGGTTGTAAAATATTTGAAGAAATGAGACTGCCATATTTCATAAAGCAGTAATCCTATAGAATTAGACTGTAAGTATGATACTGTCATGATTGGGTATATTGTGCTGACTTTATTATTTCAACATTCCTTTATTTTACAAAGTCACACTCCGGCTGTGTGCTTTGCTATGGTTTATAGCCGTCAGACTAACTTGAGCTTGTTTCAGGAGCGTGTACGGCTCCAAAGGGACCTGCTGACTGTGGAAAAAGCTGCTCAAGAAAACCATAAACAAGCCAGAACGCTGCAGGAACAGCTCAGAACCATTTCCCAAGAGCTGCTCTGCCTCAGAGACAAGGTACAAACAGGAAATAGCACTGTAACACACCACATCTGTTTGCTGTAATAGATCTGTTGCAGATAAACATATTTGTTCTACTTGTTTGGGCTCATTTCTGAAGCACATGTGCTAATCAGTAAATATGAGGAAGATGAATGGCTGTCATGTGCCTCTCTCAGTTGCAGAGCCAAGAGGAGGGCAACACTCGGCTGTGTGAGATCAAGGACAGTGTGCGCTCTGTGAGGTCACCGGTGAAAGTGGAGCTTGACAGTGGGCTGAAGGAGCTGGAGCCGCCCTCTAGTGCCTCCTCAGACACAGACAGCCTGAAAGAGAACCATCAGCATACACTATCCGTGGGGAACCCAGCATACAACACTAAGGTGAGCCTTTCCATATGCACCTCCTAAACAAGTGTTTTAGTATGGGAGGTATGGGTGTAAAAATGCACAGATTACTTTAAAGCAGTGGTTCTCATGTAGGGAACCGGGGCCGTCTTGATGACAGTTATGAAAATTATTTCAAATAAATCAAATCGAGCACTAAAATAGGTTACAACTACTAACCTAAACAACTAAATCTAAATATTTATGATTTAAATTCACCTTTCTTAAAGGGATAGAGCCCAACAATTCTGTCATAAATTACTCACCTAAACTTTGGGGATATTTTGAAGAATGATGGTAACCAAACCATTTCGTTTGTCACTGACTTCAGTTGTATGGACAAAAAATACAATGGAAACCAGATGGAACTGAAACTGTCTGGTTACCAACATACTTTCATTTTTGGGTGAACAATCAGCTTTCATTTAATGTTTCTTCGCAGAACCAGGGTTTCCACTGTTTTGGAAAACCTTGATATACTGTATGAAGTAGCATCATTTTAAAAGTGTGATTTCTAGACCTGGAAAAGTCAGGTAAATTAATAAAATCTTCAAATGCAATGGGCATTGTTTTTTATAATGAATACACATTTTACTAGTTATGGCAAGCTTTAAAATATTTTATCAGGTAGCAGTCGCGTAAAAATATATTTTTAAATCCTTATCCTAATTCATTATCCAGGATATTGTTAATGACTGTAGAATAACCGTAGAATAATTATAATTGAAATTAAATAATTATTTTTAATTTACAGAAACTAGGTCTGCCCGTAGATTATAGTACGTTTTGAAAACAAAATTAGGAGGCTTTTGAACGTTGTTGTGGACTGCAGTGGCCTTGGAGTCAAAAAAAAGTTGGCAACCACTGCTCTAAAGTAACATTTACTTAATTTTACAGCACTGAAAAAAGATAAAAAATTACCAAAAAGTAGCTCATATGACTTTGTTTTGAAGATTTCTTCAGCTGATATCTTATTTCTGCTTATGTATTTTCAAACCTGGCACTTTTGCAAACCATATATCGTTAATGCATCAGGAGTTGAGATGCAGTCAACAGTGCTAATGTTGATCTTTTGCTACAAACAGGATGAACAGTGGCGAGGCGAAGCACTGAGGGAGAGACTGAGGCAGCAGGAGGACCACTTGAAGGTACAGCCAAATCTTGATCATTTGATAAGCTAACAAACTTTGAGACATTGAATTATATTTTGTCTAAGGTTTGAAATCTGCGTGTCTGTCCATGCTATCCAGGTTCAACTGCGCAGACGCATGTCCTCCCAGCAGGAAGCTCTGAGTCAGCGCAGACTGCAGACTGAAGGCAGCATTCAGGGTCTGCGCAGACATGTTGACAAACTGGACCAGCTCCTCAGCAACTCTTCCAAAGACTCCTATTATTTGAGTGACTAGGAAGCTCTGCCAAAACAGAAACAATACTCCACTGAGCCTCATTGACATGAGGAAATATCAGAAAAGTATCCAAGCAGCATATATAAAGAAGGAACTAATTTCCATTATTTGTCAGATTATGAAAGCAGGTGGTTACAGAGGAGTACAGATCTTATCAGAGAAGCGGTTTGATTTAACCCGCATCAACCAGAAAAGCACAGAGAGAGCATTGAGCCAGATCCACGAGACCATCTCAGTGACTTCCTGCTTCAGTTAGAGCAGAGGCTGGATGTGTTTCAACCTTCTTTATGCCAGAAAACTAGGCTGGCATCAGCGCTTTCCATACACAAATAAGAAAACTGAAACTTGAGGTAAAAATAAGATGGTGAAAGTTTATTCTCTACCTCGATTTGTTCTTGTTGCTTTATGAAATTATTTTTAACACAAACTGATATGTGCCTTAACGTTTGCTCATGTTAAAATAGACAATGTGAGTGTTTACAGGTGAAACGGATGGAGGAAGGTTTCATCATGTGATGTCATTGATGCACTCATGTCGTTGCAAAAAAAGAAAAACAGGCCGTGCTCTGGAATGAATGTTCATTTTTACATGACTGTTGTCAAAAATGACCTTGTATTCAAAGCCAAGATATGCAGAGTATTTATTACAGCACTTTTCTTTATATACAGTTTGTCTCAAATCAAATACAACTTAAATTAAGTGTGCAATAGTCTTTCATTTGCTTGTCCAGTTTCTCGTCTCATTATTGCTCATATACAGTGCGACCAATCGTGTATGTGGACAAAAACACAGTCTACAGTATTGTCTTTATTAACATAATTACAAACAAATGTCACTTACAGAAGACATAACTGAGCAGAAGATAAATTTTTGCAGATGTCATTAAGATGTGAAAAAAGCAAGACGGTAGGCGCAAATTAAAAATGGATTTTCAGTTTACAAAACAACACATCTAAAATCTACCATAATACACGTCTAGAATCAAATACAACTTAAATTAAGTGTGCAATACAATTAGTAGTCTTTCTTTAATTTTCTTGTCCAGTTTCTCTTCTCAAGTTGTCTCAGCATTATTGCTTATATACAGTGTATGTGGACAAAAACAGTCTACAGTATTGTCTTTATTAACATAATTACAAACAAATGTCACTTACAGAAGACATAACTGAGCAGAAGATAAATTTTTGCAGATGTCATTAAGATGTGAAAAAAGCAAGACGGTAGGCGCAAATTAAAAATGGATTTTCAGTTTACAAAACAACACATCGAAAATCTACCATAATAGACAAATTTAATAGAAAATCATATTTGGAGTGCTTGTTTTTGCCTTTTTATGTTCATTGCAAATGTTGCATGATGCTGGTTGTCGCATCAGCCCTTTTTTCAAATTGCTGTACTAATCAGATCTGGGCCGAGTTTCCCCACAATGATGTTTCTCATGCCTATTTGTTACATATTCATAACTTTTAAGATATTAATAACTCCATTAGGGGAAACCATGATGTCTGTAAAAAGCAGTTGTATCATGCATCATGCTTAAGAAACCTTTAAGAAACTCAGCTCTGTGCAAAAACATGATCAGTGTTTGGAAATCAATTTAATGGAATGCTTTTGAAAAGGCAAAATCTCTATTACAAGTGAATTGCTGGAATTCTTTCGATAAAAGCTATACGAGGGTTTTGAATAAAACGGGCAGCACATCAGAGGGAACAAAAGCATATAAGGCAACTGAAATTATCAATGTAAAAACAATATGAACATCTTGATGAGGGTTTGCTGGGCCTGAACATTCGGTACATGATTCTCCTGTCGGTCTGTTTTTCTTAAGCTACTGTGATGTTGACATTTTTACAGATGCTCAAAAACAGACCGAAGGGGATCTGAAACCTCATAGTATGAAAGACTTTAGACCTCAGTAACACAAAACAAGCTCCTGGCCCTCGGAAAACCGAATCAAAACTGCAAAGTGCAGAAAACATTCTTCAGGACCTAAAATGTGTCCCGTCCTTTTCAATATATTACTATAACAGTTACTAAATTAAAATAACTGTCTGAATCGACTGATTTTTTTTTTTTTTTTTTTTTACAATGGACCTTCCTTTGAGATTCTTCTCAAAACAATACTAATCCTGTATAGTACATGTATATTATTTCCTGAATAGGTACAAACAGGGATAAATATTTGGTGATTGGATGTGAAACTGCAAAAACGAATTTAAAACAATACAATATTTCAGTTTTAGAATTTTTAACAAAATGTTAACAATATTGATGCATATCCTGCTGATCATCATGTCAACACGAATAACGTCTGCCAATATTTCTGTTCCATTTACATTACTCTAGTATTCAGACAGCTCCTGTACATGAGATGTTTAGTTTATGGTTATGCACATCACGTCTGTAAAGGATAAACCCAGCATTTCTTCAGTTTATCGACAATAATCTTCTCTCTTCAGGTTTAGTGTTCAGCGGAGGAGCCGTCCTCCCTCGAGTGCTTCCTGGGAGCACTGGGATGTGTGCGTAAGAGAAATAAGCAAAACAACTGAGGGAAGACAGGAGAAGAGGAGGAAGGGAAGAAGAGAGCAGTAAGGAGGGAATTAATTTTGTTACACCTCCAGAGCCATCTGGCCCCAGACTCCATGAGCAATCATACCGGAAGGGGAGAGGCTTTTAGATACACAGGGAGGCAAAGGTGGGATGTGGGAGAAGAAGGAATAGAGAAATAGAAAGAGAGTGTAGTCTTCATGGTCATTAACAGCTGCAGCCCTCCTTCTGGGGCTGTGCGTCACTGCTGAGCCGGCCACCCTGGGGAGCGGTGGGCTTATGCTGGACCCCTGACTCGGCCGCGTTCAGGTCCAGGCTGCCGTCCTGAATGTTCTGGTAGATCTTCTTTGCGGCTTCAAGGAATGCATCCTCCACATTCTCGCCTCTGTTGGAGGGACATTTGCAGAGATGCTAAAGAGGACTGAAATGTGAAATACATTCTACAGACGAAGAGTGTATGCTGTGCCGGCAGATGGTCTAAAGGCCACTTACGTTTTTGCGCTTGCCTCGAGGAATAACAAACCTGTTTCAAAAAATTGGAGATGTGAAAGTGAGCGTGGAGTGTCCTACAATGTACAGTGAACCGCTTCATCATTTTGATCTAAAAGCAGTTCAGTTTAAAGGAAGTGTTCACCCAAAAATTATTATTTTTTTCAAATTACCCTAGATGTAGACGAGTTGGTTTCTTCATCGGAACAAATTTGGAGAAATTTTGTATTACTTCACTTGCTTACCAACTTGCTTTGCAGTGAATGGGTGCCACCAGAATGAGAGTTTAAACAGCTGATAAAAATCATCACCATAATCCACATGTAATGACTCCAGTTTATCAATGAATGTTTTGTGAAGCAAAGCGATGTGTGTTTATAATAAACATAACCCATCATTAAGGCATTTTAACTTTAAACCATTGCTTCCTGCTAAAATACGAGACCTCTATTCATAATATTGCTTTCTCCAATAGAAGTCGTCTCGTCTTAATCAGTAGAGAAATATGCACAGATCAATCACTGTTTACAAGCGAAAACAGTCCAAAACAGTTCTAAACAAATATGTTTGTGGATTTTGCTGTTAGAACAACGGGATGGTTATGGACTGGTATTTTGGCCAGAACTGACATTTTAAAAAGCCTTAATGATGGATTTGTTTCTTACAAGCATGCAGATTTCCGCTTCACAAGGTGTTAACAGATAAAATGGAGTCGTGTGGATTATTGTGATGTTTTTATCAGCTGTTTGAACTCTCATTCTGATGGCACCCATTCACTGCAAAGCAAGTTGGCAAGCAAGTGATGTAATGCTCAATTTCCCCAAATCTGTTCAGATGAAGAAACAAACTCACCTACATCTTGGTTGTTTTTAGCAAATTTTCATTTTTGGGTTAACTATTCCTTTAACAAAAACCACTTGCCTAAATAAAAGACCTTGAATATTCTAACTTGCGTTTTCTTCTTAACCAACCACCTTACCGTTTTCTTCAGCAAACTGCTTGGCCTCTTCATATGTGACATCACGCTGGGCCTCTAGGTCTGCTTTGTTACCAATTAAAATGATCACCTGAGGAAAGATTCAGATTGTCTTACACAGGCTCAAGTTTGGTCTTTGTGCAAACCACATCTGCAGTTAAAATATGTATGAAGCTCCAACACCATTCACTCAAACGGAAACGTAAAGGCATCATTTACCAAGTTTGGACTGTTGCTGAAGCTAATAAGGAACTTACAGTATTGGGGTTGGTGAGATTCCTGGCATCAGTCAACCAGCTGCTGAGGTGGTTGTATGTGCTTCTCCTGCAAACAACACGAATCGCATATGTTCCTTGTGACTTTTAAAAAATAATATGATAATAAGCGCAAATCAAAAGGTAACATCAAACAGGTAATGTCAATGCAATCAGAGCAGAATACTGGTCTACCTGGTGATGTCATACACCATGAGGGCCCCTGCGGCTCCTCTGTAGTAGCTGCGTGTGACGGCGCGGAATCTCTCCTGCCCTGCAGTGTCCCAAATCTGAAGCTTCACCTTCTGCCCACTCACTTCAATAATCCGTGTGCCAAACTCAACGCCAATCGTATGAGGACAGTCGGCCATAACTAAAAAGAGTGAATAAAAAAAACTTATGTTAGACTAAATAAAAGGACTTTTCATTTAAAATAATGATAAAAGGTTTGTAACCAATAATCAACATAAAAAGGATAACATATATATGGTAGTGTTGTCAAAAATACAGATTTTTTTTTTGATACACAGATACTTATATACTTCAAACAGTTTTGATACTCTTTATCCACAATAGCTCATGATCTGGTAATTTTAGCATTTTATAGTGGCTCGATTCACAGTAAATGCTGTGAACTTCATCTCTGCATGTGAGTTTGCATGTGACCGTCCCTTGGGAAGATCGCTTGGAAGAAGCTTTTGAAAGGAAGCTCTCCAAGTATGGACTCGTCAGCAACTGCAAGCAGGCAGGATGGAGAGCGAGGTGCATCCCAGTTGAAGCTGGATGTAGGGAACAGGGGGTTTGCAGCACGTTCCTTGGCTAGAGCCTACAGAGAGCTGGGCATTAAGGGAGCGAGCAGGAGGGTAGCTATACGCAGCACCACTGAAGCAGCAGAGAGGGCTTCAAGGAGGCTATGGCTAAAAAGAGCAGAGCCATGGAGTACTAAGTAGCCAGCCAGCTGGACACAAGCTGGGGTCTGATCAGCCCCAGCTGGGTCACCTGGAGGAGGGTGTATGATGTTGAA